ATGTAGACGAGCTTGTAATGATAATATCATCAACATACAAAAGGATATAAACGGTCTGTGACTGTGAACGATAAATAAACATGGACGAGTCTGATCTGCTTTGTGAAAAGCCATGACGCAACAGAAAACCACTAAAACGATGAAACCAGGCCCGAGGAGCCTGTTTGAGACCATATAGAGCCTTACGGAGACGACAAACATGATTAGGAAAGGAAGGATGAACAAAGCCCTGTGGTTGACGCATGTACACTTCTTCTGTGAGATAACCATGTAAGAAAGCATTTTTCACATCAAGTTGTCTAACAGCCCAACCGGAACATATAGCAACAGACAAAACAAGACGAACTGTGGTGGGTTTAACAACAGGGCTGAAAGTTTCAGAGAAATCAATGCCAGCTTGTTGTTTAAAACCCTGAGCAACTAACCGAGCTTTATGACGCTCAACAGACCCATCAGAAAGATATTTTGTCTTGTAAATCCACTTACATCCAACTACATTTTTAGTGTGATCCCAAGGTACCAAATCCCAAGTCTTATTAGCAATTAAAGCATTAAATTCATCCGCCATGGCTGCCCGCCAAATAAAACTCTTATTAGCCTGTGTAAAACAAGTTGGATCATCCGGGGGAGAAACAGCACTAAGAGTAAAATTTTGTTTGGGTTTAAAAATACCATCTTTGGCCGGAGTACGCATGGGATGTATATTTATAGGAGTAGGTGGGATGCGGTCAGATGGGCTGGGTGATGTGTCTGGTTTGCTAGTTGAGGTGGTGTCCGAGAGAGGATGTATATCAGGTGAGCTGGCAGTAGGGCTTGCAGATGGGCTGGGTGATGTGTTTGGTGTGCTAACCGCATCCAAACTAGGGTCAATGAGCATTCTGGGAGTAGACGGTGTGGAAGGTGATTTGGGCACATTGGGTGTGGGTGGTGGAATGGCAGTAGTGTCTCCAGGAATATGGGAAGAAGATGGCTGGAGGTTTTGGACATAATGGTGGTTAGAAGGCTCGCTGGAGACGTGATTTGGTGTGGATGAAGAGAGCCAGGATATAGGCAAGGACGGGGTGGTGACAGGAGGTTTGGAAACTAGTGTAGGATAAGGGAAATTATTTTCGTGAGAAATAACATCCCGACTAACATAGACCCTACCAGTGGAAGGAGAAAGACAGCGGTACCCTTGGAACGCGGTGAGAGTTTGTTGTGAGAGGCAGTAATAAAATTTGGAAAACAAGAACAACCAAAAACACGGAGAAAATTATAGTCTGGAATTTTATTAAAAAGTTGCTCATAAGGAGTCAATCCACTCAAAATAGGTGTAGGGAGTCTATTAATAATAAAAACCGCGGTGTATAGGGCATCAACCCAGAATTGACTAGGAAGAGAGGAATCAATTAACATTGTCCGAGTCAATTCTTGTAAATGTTTATGCTTTCGCTCAGCTACACCATTTTGAGCAGGAGTATCGGGACAAGACTTTCTAAATAAAATTCCAGAATGTAAAAAATGTTGTTGGAAAGTAGAGTTATCAAATTCACCACCACCATCACTCTGAAAAACTTTGATTTTTAAGTTCAAAAGATTTTCAACCAATTTTTGAAAATTAATAAAGTGAGTGAACACCTCATATTTTCTACGCATAGGAGAAAGCCATGTATAGCGAGAAAAATCATCAATAAAAGACACATAATATTTATACCCAAGATTATATAAAACCGGCGATTGCTAGACATCTGAATGAATAATCTGTAATGGTGTGGTAGAGTCATGAATAACATCACTAAAAGAAAGTCTATGGGATTTACCCAGCTTGCAAGAAACACAGTCATGCAAAAATGTAGAAGAAGTAGAAATTAAATTTTGCTGCCTAAGACGACCAAGAACTCTATCACCACAATGCCCCAGACGCTTATGCCAAATTGGACCAGGAACAATGCGTGCATGAAAAGCATGAAAAGGGTAGACGTGGTCTTTATTAGTTGCTTGAAGTAGAAGCTCCCCCGTTTGAGTGTCCTTAACGAGAAAAGAATTTTTATCAAAAATAACTTGACAGGCATTGTCCGCACACAATTTCTGAATAGAAAGTAAATTGTATTTAATGTGTGGGACGTGATAAACAGAGTTAAGATTTAATGGGCGGCCAAGTGTTTTAGGTTTTAAATTACCAATATGAGAAATAGGCAGTTTGGTACCATTAGCGACACACACTTGATTTGCACCGGTGTAAGTAGTTTTAGAAGAGAGAATACCTTCCTGAGGAGTCATGTGAGCGGAAGCTCCAGAGTCAGGATACCAAACTGAGTCATTGGTCTCACCGGTAGGAATGGCAGCGAGAGCAGGTGACACAGAACCAGTAAAGCGGAGCACTGTAGGGCAGAGTGACCTGGAGAAAAACACAACTGACAAACAACTGGAGGTGGAGGAGACTGATCCACAGATGGAAAACCTGTGGAAAATAAGCGGAACCATTCAGTTCCGGCGTCTCTCTCTCAACGCATGTCGTCGATTCCACCGTTAGAATCATTCCGCTTATTTAATGTACCGGAACCATTCAGTTGGACGCCTACACCACCTACTGCGTCCACAGGTTTTCCATCTGTGGATCAGTCTATAATTTTCCAGACTATATTGACTTCTACTGGATTGACTACCGGAACCATTCAGTTAGAACCATTCAGTTGGACGCCTACTGGATTGACTTCTTATGAGAAACTTTTTAATAAAATTCCAGACTATAATTTTCTCCGTGTGTTTGGTTGTTCTTGTTTTCCAAATTTTATTGCTGCCTCTCACAACAAACTCTCACCGCGTTCCATGCACTGTGTTTTTATTGGCTATGCCCCGGGGTACAAGGGTTACCGCTGTCTTTCTCCTTCCACTGGTAGGGTCTATGTTAGTCGGGATGTTATTTTTCACGAAAATAATTTCCCTTATCCTACACTAGTTTCCAAACCTCCTGTCACCACCCCGTCCTTGCCTATATCCTGGCTCTCTTCATCCACACCAAACCACGTCTCCAGCCAGCCTTCTAACCACCATTATGTCCAAAACCTCCAGCCATCTTCTTCCCATATTCCTGGAGACACTACTGCCATTCCACCGCCCACACCCAATGTGCCCAAATCACCTTCCACACCGTCTACTCCCAGAATGCTCATTGACCCTAGTTTGGATGCGGTTAGCACACCAAACACATCACCCAGCCCATCTGCAAGCCCTACTGCCAGCTCACCTGATATACATCCTCTCTCGGACACCACCTCAACTAGCAAACCAGACACATCACCCAGCCCATCTGACCGCATCCCACCTGCTCCTATAAATATACATCCCATGCGTACTCGGGTCAAAGATGGTATTTTTAAACCCAAACAAATTTTTACTCTTAGTGCTGTTTCTCCCCCGGATGATCCAACTTGTTTTACACAGGCTAATAAGAGTTTTATTTGGTGGGCAGCCATGGGGGATGAATTTAATGCTTTAATTGCTAATAAGACTTGGGATTTGGTACCTTGGAATCACACTAAAAATGTAGTTGGATGTAAGTGGATTTACAAGACAAAATATCTTTCTGACGGGTCTGTTACATACCAATAATAATTAACATAAAATGAGTTTGTGACTTTATTACTTAAAGAGCATTAAATATTCATTGACGAGTCATAAACTATGATTGTCCTAGGACATACTTTCAACACGTCCATCCCGCAGCGGCCGTGTGGAAGTTACAGCTTCTGCATGCTGGGCTAAATCTCTGATGTGCATAGGTACAAGGTTTAACAGTATTGGGTCGATTGAGTCATCGTGACTAACATCTTCCCAAAAGTCTTGTCGGGTTGGGTGAGGGTGTGAGGGGACCCTTGGGTTTGGGGATTCAAGGAAGAATTAAATTAAACCTATTTATTAAACATAAAACGCCGCAAAATGCTCTAGATTTATATGGTGCTTTCCACCCAATTGCTCAAATAAACGATGTTGAAGTAAAATTTCAAAGTCGCCACTTATTTACTTGCACTTGTGTTTCTCAAAAATCGCTACTTGTTCACTAAGATGTTTTTATTTGGATTGCTTTCAATCCGAGACTAGTTCAAACCAAATTCAACCAGACCAGACCAAATCAGATTATATCTGAATTCGAGATCAGACATTTACCAGATCACTTCAGATCAGATCATATATATCAGACCATAAAATTTTGGTCCAAGTAAAACATCATTCTTACTTGTTTTACTACGAGAGGATGTCTTAATAGATTATATGGATATATCACAACAGTGTGAGAAACCACATCTAACAAAATTATACTTTAACTATCCAAAACAAATTGCAAGAAAATACGCACAAAACTGAATTAGACCATATTAGATTATGTGTTTGTACTAAACTAGACCTAAACAAATTCGACAAGACTCAATAAAATTAACCTCAATTAACAACCGGTCATATTTGAGATGTTTTCAGTTTTCACCGGCCTAGATAGGTTTCATCTAAAACTTGACGAATCTAAACTTTAACCGACCAAAGCTTAGATAACACTACATCCACCACAAAAATGTTTGTCATTTTGACTTTTCTTGATAATCGTAACAAATTTTGGACAATAATTTTAATTAATATATTTGTATATAATTTATAAATTTTATACTTTTATAAAAATATTTTGAATAATGAACATTTTGAAATAATTCTCATATTCAAAATTATTTCGTATTAAAAGATACAGTTTATCAAAGTTGATTGTCATTGATCAAAAAAGTAAATTTGGTGAACCTTTTCGTAACGAAGGGAGTAATAAAATCCGTAGAGACCATACCAGATCTGATTGGATTTACCAAACCAAAGCACATGAGAAAAACGAGAACATTCCCACTACACATTCCAAATAAAAAGATGGTTGCTTCACAAAAGAACTCAAAAATATGACTTCAAAAACCAAATACGAGTATAAAACAATTTTACAGAGTAGATGAACCTTCAAGATATATCGGCCAATTACTGAATTAACTCCGCAAATCAAACACTAATTCAAAAGTCACGAGAATTCCAAATATATTCAAACATTGGCGGGATTGACATTAATTATAACATTGGTAAACGGAATGGAAGAAACCAAAGCAAATACTGTACAACACAACAACAACACTTGCAATATACTGTCATACCATAATCGTCATCTTCATCACAATCCACAATAAAAATTGTGATTATGCTGCTCAACGACGGTACGATATTTCGGGAAATTAAACAAAGTACACCACGAAAACAGAAATCACAGAATTATTAAGGTTTGATTATTAAGATTTGATTAACAGGATTATTAGCATCTGGCCTGGCAACGTTTTAACGATCACCGTCTCGCTCTCGGCGCTCGTACTTGCGTGCCCACACATGTTTCCCGTTAATACGGAGCTTAGCGATGATGTTTTTACCCAGAATCTTATCTATGGTTTTAACCGACCGGACCACCATCCTGGCGTACAGCGACTGCTCATCCTCGACGGCCGGCGGCACCATCTTCACCGCCTCCACAGAATCCCCGAACAAAGAGGTGAATAGCTCCCACACTTCCTCCTCCGACACCCAGTACCTATGAAATAATGGAATAGGTTACTCCAACTCGTGACGGATATATTTATAAGTTACACAAATATGCCTAAAGATATTCTATTAGTACCCTCTGGAGAACGTCAAGAACATGGTCCGGTCATCCACGGTCGTCTCGTACGACCTTGCCCAGCCCCACAACCCGCCGTCAGGGACGGAGGAGCCCGGGGGTATTGGGACAACTTCGACGCGACCGAACACAGGGTGCGGGAATCCCGGGATTTGGAGCGGAGGAGGAGGGTTCGCGGGTCGGCGGCGGCCGCTGCTAGGCAGAACTTGCTCCAGTATGTCAACAAAGACAATGGCGACGACCTTGGTGAGTATGGTCTTGATTCCGGTAATGGCGGAGAACTTGGTGGTCTGAAAGTGTATGGTCGAAATTGGCCTTTCAATGACCCTAGAGGAGAGTGGCATGTCATCATCCCGATAAGCCTCGGGGCGGGTTCGGGGGTCAAGGATCCTCAGACAGCGGGCAGCTTCTCGGGCCAAGTTGTTGACCATGGCGGGAGGGAAGTTCCCCATCCTCTGAGTGATGCTTGGGAAGTCGATGTCCTCGAGCCATAGCCAGAAAGCCATGACCAGCATGGACTCCGACGGGTTGCGGCCCAGGTCGATGACCAGGCGGGAGAAGATCTTCCTATCTACAGTGTGGAACAAATGCAGGTCTTCAATGGTGACCAGTGGTGGTTCCATTGTTTTATTACTGTTCTATATATGGAATGTTGATTATGAACCCATTTTTTCCTAATTTATACACCTGCCTATGGGGTGTGGTCTCACAATTTATCCACATGTCTTGATTTCAATATATATTGCACTATACTCCTCCCCTTGCTACATGGGCAGCTCAGTTTAATTTGCCACTGGTAAAGATTTTGGAATAATAATAATTACCTAACATCTAATTTTCTTGTGTTTGGGAGTTGAGTTCTGAAGGGGAGAGAAAAGTCGATGGGGGTTTTGGAGTTGGGTTTATTGCACTATTCATGTTTGTGGGAAACTGGATGAGAAGGTTTTGGAGAGTTTTTGTGACTTTCCAAAACTCTCGAGATGATCAATTTTTGAGTTCCCCCAATTTGAAAGATAATTGATGAAGTGATAATTTAAGCTCAATTAAAAAATAAATATCAGTTAAATTATTTGAATTCGTAGTATTTCAAAGTGATTTCAATTATAATTCATTCAAAAACTCTCTTGTTCCAAATTTATTACTCTCAAATACAAAGAAGAGCTTCCTCTCTCTCCCATCTCTTTCTCCTCCAACAACATACCTTCAAAGCCTTCTCATCTCCTTCCCTTCAAACTCCCAAACATACCCTCAATGACACCGTATCTAAGAATGTTTTTACTGGGATTGTTTTCAATCCCCGACCAGACCAAATCAGATCAAACCATATCAGGCTTGGACAATTATAAAATACACACAGATCAAAATCTAACAGACCAAACTAGGCTTGAACAATTATAATATACACAAACTTGCAGACCATATCAGATTAGAAAAATTCACTCCAATTAAAAACATTAAGCTCTCAAAGCCAGAGGTTTCATTGTGCGCATTGAGTATTGGTTTAGCTTCTGTGTTTAACTAAGTTCCATGATTAACAACTTCTCATATGCTCTGTCGGGTTATGACGTGACTCGTGAAGGTTCTTAGAGTTAGGGATTCAACATTTTGAAACAATGTAGTACGTATACTCCCCCTTCATATGTTTACATTGGACTAAATTCTTTCTTGTTTGATGTGAAGTAATTTAATATAACCTGTTTAAATTTGATTTGATGTGTACAAATGATTCGATTAGTATAATTTGATTTGATAAAGTCTGATAAATATATTTACTATCATCTACTTCTCAAGTGGGATTAGCATGTACATGCTTAAGATCGGATTGGAACTTGTTGGACCTCAACAACAATTTCCAAAATTCTTAGACAAAATATGAGACTGGTATAATTCGTCCTAGGAAAATACTAGATTATTCTGGGTATCCACTAAACTTTAACGGGACCGCTCTATTTGATTAAATCCAGGATGTTGCTCTAGAGCAGACTAGACCTGTGCTAATCCCATTAGACAAGAGCACGCTTATATAGTTATATAGATTCAATCTCAGAGTATTTAGATTCTTACCTGTTGGACTGTTATTAAAATAACTTTTATTATTTTTAAGTATATTGGTCATTTGAAATCTATAGTATTAGTATTCACAATATACTACATAGTATTTACAAAATACGTAGTATGAAGAATTAAATTAAGTTTAGTTTGAATTAATATTTTTTTTTGCAACCAAGAAACATAGATATTACTCTGTATTAATTAAATCGTGGATCAGGCCCTATAAAATACAATTAGGAGGATTTGACATCTATACTTGACAATCAGACAAAGAAACGGTTGTCCAAGCAATGCAAGTTCATAAGTAACACGATTCGCAGACTGCATGATAAAAGCAAAATATTTATACAATGCAATCGATGTTTTATGTTTTAAAAGATATAGACAACGAAGTAAAATATTTAAAATATAAATCTTTTTTAGAAAAAATATAGTTTCACAGGATCTAGGAAAATCTCCAATGGTTAGAACAAGGGAGTTGCTTGCAATGACATTGTCAAAATTAGTGGGCAATGTTTTGGAGAAAAATGTGAATTAATATTCGGATTTTGTGCAAAAATATTACTAAAATAAGTCATATTTACATAAATATGACTATTCATTACTACAATGTGTTGTTGTGGTAACTTAAGCTCAAAACTTGAACATGAATTACTATGATTTCATTACTACTCTAGTCATTAGTCATATTTTTGTAAATCATCTTTATTTTGGTCATATTTATGTAATTATTTCTTAATATTCTCTAATTTAGTATTTTGTTTTATTTAATGTCATTGCTTTGTTGATTTCAAGAAATGTTTAATTTCCTCATGAGATCCTTTTCTCTTTCTATATGTTGTTAGTGTTTGCTATTTCTTATTTTTTAATTTAATAAAATACATACTTTTTGAATATATTTTAAAAATATTCATTTCATATTATCCCCTTGTAATAGCAATAATAACACTAATTACTTATGGGTCTAAACTATTAATAAAATTTTCCTAAGCTAAAGCTATTTCAAAATAGTTTTATGTTTTTATTGTATTAAGAAAATAATTCATTAAAAATGTAAAATTTCAAAGTTGATTCATTTGTAGGGCTTATGGTGTTATCACTTGGACTGAATTTTTTTGGTCTAGTCTGGTTTGTTTAAGTCTCGTCTGATAGATGTCTGATACTTGTGTATTTTACAACAGTCGATGTATGGTTTATTTAAGTCTAATCGAAAGGGCACAAATGAGGGGTGTAGTCCGGTTGCTTTATTTGGGTTGCTTGTAATCCAAGAGTATGTGCACCTTGAGTTTGAGCCTATATACTTTATCAAGAGTCTCTCACTTTCTGAGTCGAGAGGTCTCGAAGTGAAAGGCAGCACAATCTTCTGGCGATCTTCCTTTGAATTTTGAAGTTTTGGGCTGAGGTGTAGTCCGAGTATTGGACGAAGGGTGTAGGCCAATTACTTGTTTGGGATGCTTGTGTATTCAATAGTGTGTGGACCGTGAGTCTGAACTCATATACTCTATCAACTAATTTTTATCGTCGTCATTAGAGAGAAAATTGAAGGACCAATGATGTGTATTTGGTAATTTTATCGTAGTTATATATATTTAACAATTGCCTTATACGTGAAAAAATACAAATTACTTATAAGTTGAACTGTTTTTCGAAGAAAATAATATCATTCTTTTGAACTGTTTTTAGAAGAAAATAATTTCATTTTTTATCATTGCAACACACATTTTAGAGATTAGGTTCTCAGTAAGGCTCTTTGAGTCAAGGTTTCAGGTTTGAGTAGGGATGGCAACGGGGCGGTTCGGGGTCGGGTATACCATTACTCGTACTCGCCCCGTTTGATAATATTTTTCCCCAAAACCGCCCTGTTACCCGTCGGGTATTTTCTATCCGCGGGTAATGGTTTTCCCCGCGGGTAACGGTTTCCCCGTGGGTAACCATTTTATTAAAAGATAACTTTTTTTTCTTCAAAATTAGTGTAAATCCTATAATGATGATTAACTACTTATAATTGACCACCTAAATTAAAAAAATCAAAATTAAATAGCACCACAGATAAAGTTTTTTAAAACATCACAAAAATTACAATCGTTTGAACTTAATATTTACAAATTATATGTCTAGATTCAAAATCATGGATCTCTTATCACATCAACATCAAAAGATTAAGTCTTATCTCGATAGTAAAATCTAAATATGAATCACAAAAACATTTAACTTCCAAAAATTCAATACTCATACCCCACCAACATTCAACATCTAAATTTAAGAACAGTAATGTATACAAGTAACATAATGAAATTGAGAAGTTTTTCCCCTAAAACATTACTAATAAAAAATATATTGACATAAATGTGACTATAAGTTACCATGAAAAAGTTTTATAGTCACTATGATATAACATTTGAATAAAATTATAAACACCAAAGTTACTAGAGTTGCATTTTTGTCCACTACTTTTATTTTGATTATAAATTTGGAATTATTTCTAAAAAATGTACTTCTAATACTATAATTTAGGTATTCTTGTAGTTACTGTTTTAGAAATCTCATAATTTAAATTTAAAAATTGATATAAATTAGAGCAACCAATCAAAATTAATCTAATCATCCAATACACCTCTACGAAATTATTAGCAATTACATAAACTAAAGCAATTTAGAGTAATGCTTCCCAATCTTTGGACTTTAAACTCATATGTGAGCTTTATGAAAGTAGTTATTGAGTGAAAAATTAAGAGAGAGAGTCACAATGTGAAAATTGTGTACATAAAATCACAAAAATCTAAAAATCAATATGTGAAGAAAATAAATCTTGTAGAAGTTAACAAAGGAAGGATGATGAATGATATTGAAAATTAAAAATCTAAAATAGTGATCTTTGAGCACCAACTCCTCAGAATTGCAAAGGATAACCGATTAGTTGAATATTTTTCAAAAAATTAGAGGGAATACGTGTCATATAATAATGTACTGCTATTCATATATACTTAATATATTAAATAATAAATACATAAACTATTAAAATATGTAAGTTAATTGTACGGGTCGGGTAATGGTGCGGGTAACCGTATCCAAATTAAACGGGGCGGGTAACGGGGCGGGTAGGTATAAACCCGTAATCGCCCCATTACCCGTTTACATAAATCGGGTATTTTCCGCTCCGTATCCGTTATCCAGCCAAAGCAGTTTTTCCCATTTTAATCGGTTCGATTCGGTGCGGGTATCCAACGGATCGGGTTAAATTGCCATCTCTAGGTTTGAGCCCTGCACGTGGAAGTTTCATTCAATGTCGCGTCTCCTTATACGCAAGAAGTCCAGAAACTAAACTAATTCTCTGAGGAATGATTTCAGATTGAACTGTGACTCACCCCTCAATCACTCGGTTGGGTCAGGGTGTTGGGGCGCCTATGGTGGGCGGCTCCATTGTTTTGAATCAACGATGTACACCATCCTTGTACAAAAGTGTGTATAAGAGTGTGTACAAACATCATTTTTGGTTTTGAATTGGGGAAAAGAAATTTGGGAAAAGAAATATAGAAATATTTTGAGCACTTTTACAAAAAGTACTTTGTACTATATTTCCCACC